TACACTGAACAAATATGATTCCTTAATTAATTATGCCTTAAATTAATTCTGAAATTAAATTGCTAATTAAACTCATGGTTAGCCTGAAGAAGAAGTCCACCAATGGTTCTTCCCAATTCTCTCATTCATATTTGCTCATGCTAAGACCAACATTAAATCTAAACCCTACTACCCTTAGCAACCCAAAGACCAATCTTTAAGTTACTATTAAAAATATCACATTAAGATTTATGGAAAACATCATCATAACAACTTTGCAGTAACATTACGATTATTCAACAAAATCAATTCGAGAATTTTAATTAGCAAAAAATCACTTAACGAGTCAGTCAAATACGAATTAAGTGACACTTAGTTTATAGAAAAGTTCAGCTACTGAAAGCACTTTGAATTCTAAAAGAATGTCATTTTAATATGGATTAGGTTGAGATCCTAATTTGGTCCAATTTAAGTAAAATTTAGTGAATAATAATTTTCAGAACACTTTTGGAGTTTAGATTTAACAATAGCGTAAAGTTGACATTCCTTCAAAGTCAAACTAATTCAACAAAAACAACCAAATCAAATATTCAATCCTTTTTATCAAAAAATTTGGCCTAATGAGGCTTTATAATTTCAAAGACAATAATTAAATCAATAAATCAAATCTGAACAATTAAACATCAACATTTAAACAATTCAACACTTTTATTATAATTTAAACATTCAAAAAAACTGGAATTGAAAATAAACATAAACATTTTTTAGTATTGGAAATCATATTTATAAATTTGGAAATAAATAAATCTTAGTCCTAATTAACAAGTGAAAATTGGAATGTAAAACTCCCCGGACTGTTTTTCTTCGTTCGCTGCACGAATTCCAGAAGTGAAATTTGCACTAAATAAGACTAAAACGTAAGTCATTTCTCAATGTAGGATTTAAACTTTTTTATTCCTTAAATAGAACTTAATAATGACTAATGAGAAGAATAATATCCAAGTGATGTTGAATATTTAGTTGAATAATGACTAATAGATAATGACAAATGATCCTACATTGGAAAATAAAAACATATGGTCCTATATTGAGAAATTCATTATATTTTAATCTTATTTAGGTAAATTACCCATTCTAGAACCGGAGCCAAGTTCATTTGGGTCAAGTTTGGAAGTATACTTGTTTTGGAAGTATTATTTTTATTTTTCATTCTTTATTCGTAACACCATGTTGTCCATGTTCATTTGGGTCAACTTTGGACTTGGCTGTATTGTACTCCAAACAAGTCCAAAGATCTATTTTCATTACTCCTTCCATTCGCAAATAAATTTTCAAATCATTTTATATGAAAAATAGTGTGAAATTTAAAAATAAAAATTATATATCAAAAAACTATATCAAAAGATCTACAAAACTAGAGGTGACATGACTATATTATGTTATCAAATAGATGATAAAAATAGGCTAACAAAACGAATAAAGTTTGACCACGTGAATAGTGAACGAAGAATTTATTTGTAGGAGGGAATATTTTTTTAACCTTTTGTATTTTAAATATATCTAAAAATAAATATATGTCAAGAAAAACAATACTTTCAAACTAATTATAAAATATAAATATGCTCAAAATCAATCCATTTTATGTATAAAAATGTAAATAATAGCCAAATTGCCAAATATGAGAAAATATGTTTATTTGTATATAAAATGCATATAAAGTATCCTAAAAATGTTAAAATTGGAGGAATAAGATATGATATTTTGGGACACAATATTTACGCCCAACACTATGTCGCTATTTATATTATATTATTATGTAAAGAATTATATAATTATTGTTATCTGTTGTTATATTTTGAATATAATGTCTTTAGTGAACTGAGTTTGAGATTAGCATGGACATGAATATATAAAGTGATTTAGTGACATACCTTACTTAGAAGAACTTTAGGACTATCTTGTGAATATTATGATTGTAAGCATAGTTATTTAAGGCGCGATGCACAAAGGGGCTCTAGCGCCTCGATGCGTGATGCGCTATTGATGTGCGCGCATCACGAACACAATGTGCACATTGAGGCATAAGTAGCATAGCATCTCTAAAGGAGTAATAGTACATATAAAATGTTGAAAAGCATACAAAAACTTTAGAAAGCAACCAATGCAAGAATCAAAGTATAGACTTCATGGATTTTATTACAAATTAGGCTAATGGTGTCATTGTTATTTGTTTTTGTGACCCTTGAAACATACTTTCATCTGAGATCATTAGATCCCAAATTTTAGAGATTCTTACATTCTTGAAACTTGAAAGAGTGTACAAGATATAAATACAAAAAAAAGTAAAAAAGGGGGGAAACCTCACAATAAAAGTGAAAAAATGTTGTGAAAACAAATAATAAAAGGAGTGACTAACTTATTAACCTTATTCTCAAATATCAAATACTAGTATACTACATCAATTTTCATTCTAAAACCCGAAAAATAAATAGTAAATTTAATTTCAAAGCAAAATTGCAAGATAAATAAAAAACTGAAATAAATAGTAAATTTAATTACAGTTTTTTAACAAACGTCAACCCCATAAAAAATCAAAAGCAATTGAAGTTAAAAATAAAAAATAATTAAATAAATAAATAAAGAGGGGCTTCAGATCTAGAATGTGACTCCAACGTAGTCCAAGTCGACAAGGGATGGAGTTCTAGGGTTTTTAAAAAATAAATGAAATATGGGTCTTATCGAGTTGGCTCCAGAAAAAACATCGTCTACTTCGACCAGCGGTCGATTACTCTAGGCGACATCTTTTCGACAGCAACCAATTGTCACTAATCGATAAAAAACTAAAGAAAAAAATTAAAATTTAAAGATCTGTATGTGATGCGCACCTTGTAGTGCCTTAGATCGCACCGCATAATGCGATGATGCATAGTTATGCGCGCGCCTCCTGTACGTCGTCTGTATCACAAAGCTTGATGCACAAACCCCTGCGCTTCGTGCGCATCGTGGCTCAGGCGCGCGCCTCAGTCGCGCTTTTCACAACTATGATTGTAAGTTGTCAACAGGTTGTAGAGCCGTGTGGACATATATAGTATCTAGTGACATTTGGGTATAAAAATCTACGTACGTGGAATCTAAGATTTGATTTGTAGGATTCGAGGTTGCACCCAACCTACATCGTTTGTATCGGGTTGATCAAAATCATGGTTGTATGTTGTTGTTCTTAGTCATATATTAGACTTGAGTCATGACCGTCGTTAGTAACTTTAAGTCGCAAGATAAGACTGTGAATAACAAAGAGTCGACCTTAGTATAGTTTAGGTTATGCGCAATTACTAATGATGAACTGTTATAATGATATGATGTATGAATTTGTTTGATGATGTTATGTGAGATTATTTGTGCATAAAATGTTATGAATGATTGTGTATGTTAAATTAATTTTATGTGTGATTTCTACTATTAGAATCTCTCACTTAGCGTGAAAGATGGGTGTGTACTTTGTTATACTTATTACACGTAGATGACATGAATAATGAATAACGAAACAATCCTAGAGGACATCAAGGATGAGGAGATGAATGGATGCCAGGTTATTGCCAGCTGAGAAATTATTTAATTTAATATTATAGTTGAATTTATTATATTTTTCATTCAAGAACCCAAAGTTATGTTTTGAGTTAGGTACTTAAGCCTCTGCACCATTTTATATTACTCCAATGATATTATAAATATTGATTTTGAATTAAACGTTTTAAATTATTTTGAAAATTAATGTGTTTGGATGCTGATCTAGTAGCAATCCGATCCACTGTTCCATGCATTCGAGTTACGCGGGTCGGGATGTTATAGAAGTTTTGGGTGCGAAGCATTATGAAGAGTCTTAGAGTATTAAAATTGGAAGGATTGACATAAAATAAAAAGGGCCAATTAGCTCAAATATCCCCCTTTGATTTAGAAAATGACACCAATGCCACATCTGCCATCAAAACTTATTTTTAAAATATTCGTGGTTTCAAAACCTTACACTCACACCCCTTCCAATCATATTCTACCACTTTCTTGCAAAGAGGAGAGTATTAATGTTTATTTTCCAAACAATAGGGGTTCCGTTGTTAATTCTCAATTTTCTGTTTATTTTTGGTTTTTCTGTTTTTCTATATTGCTTTCTTTTATCTATAAAGGTTTCTTTATTTTTTTAAATATAGTTTTATAATGTTCTTAAAATTTATTTTTTTTGTTTGAAATAAAATATAATTAACACTTATTGCATATTTTTATTGTTTGTTTTTTCAAAATTAAAAAGTAAAACTTTCTTTATGGATTTCAAAATAAAGGAATACAATAAAAAATAAAATAAAAGAAAAAATTAAAATGAATGTTGTTTTATGGACATCTCAATCATAATGACTTTTTAGACTTTCCGATTTTTTTTGTATATTCATTTTGTTTTTCCATATTTTTATTTTTTATTCCAAATTTCTTTTTATGAACTTCCTATTTTTATTCTAGAGAAAAAAATATTTCGATGAAGTATATGTCAATTTTTAATTTGTTTGAAACACAAACCGTTTTGAAATTTTAAAATACTATAAAAAATTAGAAAAGAAATTTTTAAAAACTTTTCTAAGGAAACAAAGAATTGAAAAAAAGAGTTAAATAACAAAAAAACAAAAACGTAACCAAAAAATAAGAAATGAGCTTGGTCCCCTTATGATTTGGAAAATATAACCAAGTACTCTCTATTTGTCCAAATATGACTTAGTTAGAGGGAATGTGAATGTAAAATTTCGAAATCACAAGAATTTTAGAAATAAAATTTAAAAAAGAAGTACGGATGCATATTTTCAAACCAAAAGGGCTATAGGAGCAATTTGGACGTATAAAAAGTTTTTTTTGGGAATAAAAAGTTTATTGAAATAATGACATACCACCTAAAAAAACCTTTCCTATCTTTTTTTTTTGAAATTTCCTATCATAAATTCGACTCTTTACAAAAAATATTCTAAATTACATTCCTGCAACCACCGCCCTTTAGAAATTTCCTATCCTAAATTCGACTCTAACGCTCTTAAATCTTAAACCCTATTCGCCTCTTCCATCATCGATAGAGCCTCTCCGACTTTCTCCATCACAGTATTGCCTCTAATCCTTTCGAATTCCACGGTGAAAGTGTGATAGCAGATCAAATCTAAGGTTAGAAAATAGAAACCAAACTCTTTCTTCATTTAATTCTTTTTCAATTCTAATAGTTTTTTTATTGTTTATTTCGAAATTATTGATTATGCTTGTCAACTGTCTTTTGCAAGGGAGTGAATCAATTTTAGGGTTTGTATGATTTGGTTGGGAAGGGGGTTTGTTTGTTCTTTACAGCTTCATTCTTCTTCTTCTTCTTCTTCTTTTTTACTGCATTCATGGCTATATTTGCCAATAAATGTGTATAAATACTATGTTAAATATTTTAATTTAAATGTAGGCTAATGAAAGATTTGCATGAACCATGAAACTACTATAAATTGCTCCGTATCTTTAAATTAAATGTATGTTTCAAAAAACATATCTTTTGGACATTAAATGCAAGATGTCTGGTTTGGTTCTCAGAACATTGTTAATACTCTCTAACACTCAAAAAAAGAGGATTAGAGAATTAGAGCTGACAAATTGCTCAGGTTGGAATTGGGTTCGATCACTTCAAATTCGGGTTACATCAGGTCCGTGTTAGTTCGGGTTGAGAAGTGCTTTTTCATGAAAAGTATCATTGGGTTTGAGTCAGCCCAACGAGTTATGAGATTTATTTTTAGAATTTTTAAATTCATGCTAGCACTTGCATTTTGCACTAAATTCAATAAAATATCAAAATACATATATTAAACCTCTTAGAATATTTATTTTGAATTTTTAATTCTTTTTTAGGTATGTTTAATGAAATGAGTAGTAGAAAAAATAAAAATGCATCACTTTTGAAAAAAATATAAGATAACTATATGATATCTTTAAAAAATTGCTTCAAAATATATGTTTATACACCAAAAATGAGTAATAAAAAAAGAGAAAAGTATCTCAAATAATCCTACCTTTTTGCGCTCTTTCAAAAATAATTCCAATTTCCAAAAATTTAGTTAAATAGCAGTTAGCTTTTTAACGACAATCTAAAATTCACACACATGCGGAAAGGTGAGATTATTTCCGGTTATAGTGAAAAGTGAGATTATTTTTGAAAAAATGTGAAAAAGTGAGATTATTTAAGATAATTTCTTCTAACAACAACAACAACAACAACAACAACCAGTTGAATCCCACTACAGTAGGGTCTGGGGAGGGTGTGTGTACGCAGACCTTGCCCTTACTCGGAAGTAGGGAGGCTGTTTCCAAGAGACCCCCGGCTCAACCTGCACAAAATTATGGAAGGGAACACAGTATAGTACGGGTAAAGCACCAAGTACAAGCAATAGCAAAAGATTCCAAACAAACACAACACACTACAAACAACCTCTACAGCACCGAGCTCCTATCCAGCTACTCTAATCCTAGTTCTCCAAAGGTTTCTATCTAAGGCCATATCCTCAGTCAGGGTGAGAAGTCCTAAATCCTGCCTAATCACCTCCTTCCAATTCTTCCTAGGTCTACCCCTTCCCCTACTTCCCCCGATAATCGTAATTCTTCTAAGAAAAAAATAAAAACACAATCTTATTTTTATTACATTATTTTCCATATTAAAATACATAGTTTTGGAAAACTTTTACATTAGGGTGCGGTCAAGGTTGACCCATTTTTATCGGGTCATCTTCGGGTTCAATCAACAAAATCTTTGTTCAAAACCCTATATTTTTGAATCAGGTTTCAGATCAATAACAGGTCGGATTAATTTTTGTCTGGTCTAGAATAAAGAAAGAGGCCAAAAGAAATTGAAAAACACAAAAAGGTTTAATTTAATTTAAAGCTTGTAACCTGGCAGGAGCAAACCAGATCACTCGATTCGCCCTTTTGGCAAATTTGGGCCAGGTCTTTGCTATTCCAGGTTTGCTCATCAACTGCTTTCTGTCCTTTTCTAACTTTTTTTTGTTTCTTATAAAAACAAATCCCAATCTGAACCCTCCGTCACTGTTGTCTCTCTCTCACTCGCGAGGCAGCAAATTTATCTTCTTGCGGCTTGCAGTAGGCAGCAGTGAAAGAGGATCAATCTCAGAGGAGTCACTCCAATTTCAGGGTTTTGGCTTACTTCTTCATCCTAATTCCCAAAATTATCATGATTAATTATTCAATATTTCAATACATGAGTACTTCACTTTGTTTTTGGAGATTTTATTTGTTGTTCTTTTTGAAATATATAGATGTAAAAATTTATAAAAATAAATTAGAGCTATATTGTTATTCACAAGTTGTAAATTAGTAAGTTTTAATAATATGTTTGTACTTATTATCAACTTGTATTTTAATTGCACCATTAAATAAAGGGCCCTAAATACTTGTATTGCTCGGGGCTCAACATATAATATGGCTGGTCCTTTGTCCCAAGCACTCAGGATGATTTTATTGTTGGAAAGAAGTGATTAGATAAGACCTAAGATGTTTAGGCCTTACCGAAGATATGACCTTAATAAGAGCATAAAGCAGGCATCTAGAGAACTAGGACTAGGATAGTTGTTTGCTTAGTTCTTTTTGTTTCATTACTTTTTTCTTCCATTGTTATATTCTCTCTTCCCTTAGCTTGCTATGTGCTTCATTTTTGTGGTCTGTGTTTTCTATGCTTTTTGTGGAGTTTGTGTTTCTTGAGCTGGGGTCTCTTGGAAACAATCTCTCTACTTTCGAGTAGAGGTAAGGTTTGCGTACCCACACCCTCCCCAAACCCTGTTCTAGTGGGATTCTACTAGGTTGCTGTGAAATAATAAAATTCTCATCATAGATATCTAATGAAAAATCTTTTTTTTTATCTAAAATAGAAATATAAGTAATGTTCTTAAAAATTTTGAGTACAGTAAATGCATCAAGGTTCTATGCACAATCTTTCCATTGGGATTATTTGTTGTTGACTCGTTTGTGTAACATTTTCTCGGAAAAATGAATGCCCTCTAAAATCAATACAAACTTCTCTAATTTTCAACCTAATGTGTCCTGTAGGTTTTGTACAAAGACTAACAACCTTGGAGCCATTGACTAGTCTTAGACTGAATTCTTGCAATTCAGCTAACCTCTTCTTCTATTCCAGTATAACCCTTCACAGCACCAACACCTCTTTTGGTAACCTTCGGAGCTATTTTATAGGATTTTCGTTCAAATTAAGTTTACTCAATCTCAGCAGCCAATGATTTCCAAAATCTTCACTCTTTCAATTAAAAGTGGAAGGCCATTAGTTCTTTGGAATTAGCATTTGAGAGCTGCATAGACTTATTTTATATCACCAATAGATGAATGAAGAGAACAGATCATATTCAGATATAATGACAGATTTTTTAGATTCACCAACTTGGCAACTTGTGTGATGGAATATTAGATGATTTTTGAATGGTACGGAGTATATTGGTATTGATGTTTTGTTTTTTGAAATTACTTTGTTTGAAAATATGCCAAATGATTATATTATGTGTCATTTCCAAAACATTAAAATTTAAAACTCAAAGTGGACAACTTTTCTAGTTGAATTATTACTGATTCAAGTTTTGTCAAAAAGTCAATGAACCATGGCTTGAATGTTGGATCCTTCTTTGCCGGCAGGAAAATTGTGGATATGGATCTAGATGACTTCGATGATGCTCCGCCCAAGCCCCGACCTCGACAATCGCGATTTGTGCCAAAGAATTCAAAACTCAAACCTCAACTATCCAAAGTGAAGACAGAACCTGTTTCTTCTTCTTCTGATTCTGTGTTTCCGGAATCCAATATTGTTCCTATAGCTAAAGAGGAAGACTTTGATTCAAATCCCATACCGGTCACTAGTCACATCTCTAAATCCAAGATTGAAGAAGAATCTAGTACATGCAATGTCACACAAATGGATGTGGATATGAAACCTGTGATTGAAAATGAAGAGAAGGACGACGACGAGTCAATGGCCAGTGAAGCGGAGGAGGATGAAGTCATTCGAGAGATAGATGTTTATCTTACTCCCTCCATTGATCCTAACACTAAGGTAATAATTTTAACATTTTGTTCAATTTTATATATTAATAGAAATTCTGAATTTATATATTTCATTAAAATGTGATTTGCGTGTTGTCAGCTATATGTCCTGCAGTATCCCTTGAGGCCGAAATGGCGACCATATGACTTAGATGAAAAGTGTGAAGAGGTGAGTAAGAATGTTGGCTCCTTGAGCTATACTATTCTACTCTTAAGTCAATTCTTTGGAATTCCTTATACCTGCAGCTTAGGAGGCAATGAATGGATTGGCCTGGATGCTCATTTACAGGTAAGAGTGAAGCCTGGAAGTTCAGAAGTTGAAATTGATCTCGCGGTTGACGTTGATTCCAAAAATTATGACAGTGATGCTGCTCCTGGAGTAAAGATGACAAAGCAGGTTTGGCTCTGAGCTTATTGTGTTTTGTTAAGACTTTGTTTCCATTTGGTATGCTTGTATAATGTTTCAATTCCTCATGAATCCCCATTGCATTTCATACCATTTTCCACATGCCATAAAAAGACAGACATGTGGTTCCATAGGTGGAAGATCAAAATGCCTGTTATTTCTTATTTGGATCAATATAGCTAGGATTAAATAATACGGATCCCAGTATCCCTTCGTTTCCCAAGTTTGTGCTTCTCGCATGTGCTTTAGTTCCCATGTAACAGAGCCTTAAGGAAATTAATCTCCTCGCTGTCAAATTATGTATGCATTTTCTTCTCCAAGAGCAAGAACTGCCACAAGCCCACAAAATATTTGTTCTGCTGAAAATATTGAGAAATATATTATTCTCTTCAGGTGGCTTGGTTTTATTCCGGAAGGCCTAGTTGTATGATCCAAATATATTGTGACTTGTGAGAGGATGTATTCATTTTAGTTTTTCTGTTGTGTAACAAATGGACTTGCTATCATATCGTTGAGAATTTCTTTTAATCTAAAGGAAGATGTTTCTTGCCTTGTTTGATTGCTTGCATTGCAGTTTATGTGATTTCAATGCGCTAATGAGTAATTACATTTTGGATTGCTAGGTTTTTAAGATTCATTCTTCCTTTATTAACTTTTGAGATTAGGAAAGCAAATTCATTTTTTGGAACAATGAATCATTTTTATTATTCAAGGATTTATGAAATTATTGTTATAAAGCCATTGAAAATTTGAAATGTTGAGTTTCGATGCATGGGGGGCATTCTGCCCTTCTTTATGTTAAATTATCACTTCATTGCAAAATTGCAGTTATTTGATTATCTTCTCAAAACAAAATTCCCTGGTTCATGCTTTATTGTAATTTCTAATTGTTAGTGGTCTTTTTAGACTCTTTCAACTTCGTGGAAACCAACTCCTTTCTCAACTGGATATGCCGTTGGGGTCTTGGTTGGCAACAAGGTTTGCTCTTTAACACCCTTTGTTTTCTATATCTTTATCATTTTTTGTGTGTGAAGTAAAAGGCATAGTACTTGTCCCAAAATGATCTTCACACTTACCTTTTTGGGCTTCCGAGAACGATCTTCCCATTTCTTTTTTTAGTGTACACTTTTTAATTCTTTTCAATAAAAAAGGAACCTTTTTCCCTCAACAACCAACATAATGTACTTTTTACATTTTTCTTAATCTTTATTAAACCCAAAAATGTACATCAAGCGTTTAGATAATTTTCTTTTCGCTCTTGATTTCCGTATTCTTACATAAGATCATTTTGGGACGGAGGGAGTGGTAATTGGTAAATGTATAGGTTGGTGAAAGTAAAGTGTATTTTTATTTGAAAGATAGAAAAATTATATGCCTACAAATGAAAACTCAAGATCATTTTTGGGATATCCAAAAAGTGAAAGTGGGAGGATCATTTCGTGGCAAAGGGAGGATAACCAAAACAAAAGTTTCGGTAGCTAATAAAATATACTCGGGTACGTTGGAGGTGACCTAGATTATCTCTTTATCTGAGGATTTAAAGCTATCCAGAAGGAAAAATTATACTCCGTAGAATTTCTATTTTAGGATATCAGGGGTATGTGTTATAGTGAGAATGCACTATCATCAATTTCAACTATTTTAATGAAAAGGAGTTCGAGTACAATTACCATTATCAACAATTTTGGTACATTTTTCTGTAGTTCCAAACGTGAGAAATTAATGAAAAAGATGCATATTTTGTTTTGTTTTTCATGCAGTTGCACCTCAATCCCATTCATGCAGTTGTGCAACTCCGACCATCAATGCAACATCTTACGCCTAGTGAGCCTGGCAAGACAAACATTCAAACTAGCATTGCTGAGAAACACGTTAAAACAGGAGTTAAGGAAGAAAAGACTTTAGTTCCATCAAATAAGCAGGCAAGTAACCACTTCTCCAGTTAGATTTACTTTCAATTGATTGATTATCATATGATCTTTTTAATGAAAGTTTTAGTATAAAAATGTTCAGTATGAATATGTGCCTTGGTAAAATGCAGACTATGCAGTCACATACTCTTTGGTGTCTATTCAGTATGCATGTGCAATCATGCACATTTCAATAGCTGGCAACCTAAATAGCTTTTGCTCCCAAATTGTTTGGTTTTAAAGCTTCTATTTAAATCTTTTGTCTTCTAAAGTCTATATGTTCATGTGCAGACCAAACCTCTAGAAACAATGCAAGATAAGAATACTGAAGAGGTACAAAAAAACATTTTGTATTTTGTTTAGACTCCATAAAATTTTAACCGTATTTGTGCATTTTTATTTATGTTTTCTTTCCTTGTTCAATGGTCTTTATGTCATATCATTTTTTCTTTATTCAATTTGCAGGATTGGGTGCGCCTCAATTACTATCCTAGAGAGAGTGACATTTCATCGAGATACTTACAAAAAATGGTGGAGGTTGAAGGTTCTTCGATACAGTTTTCCATGAGCCCGTGTGTATTACTTCAATGCTTGATCACATTTTTATTTTTTAGGCCTTAATTATTTTGCTCGCTTCAATTCAATTTATTTCAATACCACCTCCCAAATTTTCTTAATCCAAAGATATAGTTCTATTGACTTCGGTTATCTTTTTCCACCAAAGGTATGACTATATGAAAGCGTTGTGTCCAGGCGTGTCGTCTGTAAGTGATGAAGTCAAAGGCCCCCCAAAAAGGTACTCATACAGTCCAGCTTAACTATGAGTACACTATGTAGTTTGTTCTTAATTTCTCATTACGGAGTAATTATTTTACATTTTATGGTATTGTATCATCATTCTTCAATAAAAAGCTACTTGCCTTATTTGTATTGGAGTCTGATTTCATCACAGTTTCAGCTAGAACTCTTCTCCATGGTGGATCGATGGGATAATTTCTATATTCCTACGCTCTGTTTTCTGCTCTAAACAGAGCCTGTAGTTTACTCCATATAATTAAAGAAATACTCCCTCTGCCCCAGAAACACTTGTTTCTATTTTGGGTCATTCAAAAAAGACGTGGCTGTTTCTATGTTTGGAAAGTTTTATGTTGCTCAAACTTTATCTCTCCTTTGTATGTATTATAATCACACATTTTTCACTTTATTATGCCAAGTTAAACTGGACACGTCTTTTTGGGATGGATGGAGGGAGTATACTATCAAAGTGCTACTCACTTTGTTCGGATCTTGTTGTGCACTCTTCTATTTTTGTGCATCTGAGATTGTGCACTTTTCATATTTTAAACAATATATGATGGACAATCTAAAGTACCCTTCAAGAACACATTAGCATTGTTGGCATGTATATATGTTAAAACCTGGACAGAGGAAGTATATAATAAGCAGCAGTTGGGTTTTATGTGATCTTAATGTCGTATCCTTCCCATATTCAGAGTAACTTCGTTCTTATCAACTTATAAGTCTTGCCAGGCTACAACTATAATATTTTTTTATATGTTGAGCATTATTTTTAGTCGATAAGAAATGTAGTTGTACCAGTGTGACACATTAGGATAGTGTAATAGATGCTCTGTTCTGTGTCATTTACGTTTACTTTCTCACTTTCTTTTTAATGCCTTTAATTACCCCTATGGCCCTATTTATTCATGAATGCTATGTTATTAGTGCATTGACTACCAAAATATTGAACTCTGCAAATAGTATGGCGTACTGATTTCAAAACAAACATAAAATTCAAGGTTTGTGATGTGATTGATGTCACCTGAAGTGTAAGGGTAGGTAACAATTAAGTGTTGCTTCAGGTACATGAGTTCGTTGCCATTGGAAGAACGTGTGAAATCTTGGCTTCGTGAGGTATGCACCCTCTTAATTTAACGTAGTATCATAGCAAGAAACTATCATATTCTCTTTTTAGCGTTTTTCTGTTTGACCAAACGTAAAAGTGCACACAGGGGCCACCTATTCATCGTTTCAATGCGTTGAAGTACCTAGCTCCCGAACTCCCTGAAGAAGAAGCAGCAAAAGAAATTTTGAGAATAGTCCAAAAACATGCACTATTAATTCAAGGACTTTGGATTCCAAAAAGTCCTTTAGTTTTTGGAAAGAACAGCGGCGTAGAACTTCTGGCCAGGGACTATATTCTCTTTTTGTTTAGCCAGGCGCCTTTTATAAAAAAGTCATTATTGAAGGACAACTCTGTGTTTGAGAAACATATGAAAGACATTCTGAATGTACTAGCTGTTGAGAGACCAACCGTCAAGGATTGGAAGCTTAAAGAGAGTCCTGATTATGAGTTTCTTAAACGTTATAAAGAGGTGGCAAAGGAGCAAGCTGCTATTCAGGAAAGTATCAGAGAAAAATTGCTTAATGCAGTTCGCACAGAAAAAAATAAGCGTCGTGGAAGAAATACTTTATCTTTAGAGAATACCACAACAAAGAACTCCCCAGCAACGGTAAATTCTGATAAGCAAGTACCAAGAACTGTGAGTTCCACTTTGCCAGCGACCTCGATGTCGAAAGAAACTCGAGAAGCTTTACCAAAGGCCCTACTGAAACTTTTCAAGATTCACAATGTTTGCAGGTCAAACTTCTCACTTTCTTTGTCAGTAATTTAAACCTCATTTCAAACAACTTTCAACGAATCCTAAGATCTGTTTCTTATTTACATGCATGTGTGCATCATGCTTAGAACGGGTAGATGACCCATTCTGCGAAACATTGTGATGCATATTACACTGTATATTAGTACCCATAAATGCCACAGGAAGATGTGCCCTATCCCTCCAGACTTTTAATTACCAAGGGTTTGTTTGTTTACAATTTTTTTCTTTCGTTTTTGTATGTAACTGTGTAAGTTTCTAAGATATATAGACATGTCTGGTTGGCCATTTTTGTTTTATATTATGTATTATGAATAAGTATGATTTTTATAAAACATGACTCTTTTAGAGGAGGGAGATAGGCAGATAGCATAAATTACAAACTTCTGTTCTTGTTTTAGGAATCTGAAAACAAAGATAGAAATTTAAAATAAGTTATTACTTTTCATATGTAAAGAGTCTTGTATTCCTGCCCCAGCTCTTGAAGCAATTTATTTCCCACTCAAAGTATCATGCACCCATTTGGTTTTTTTTCATGTAAGTTATGACACTTGTAATTCAGCTGAATTTTTGTTATCAGTTTTCAACAAATCATCCAACGGTTGAGAGAAATGGCTGTTTCTGAGACTGTCCGTCCAAAGGGAGATGCTAGAGAATTACAAGCTGCGGCATTGGGTGTTGATGCTCCCCCAGAGGAGCTCCGGGCAATTATTAGTCAGGTTGCTGTTAACATCCATGATGTATATGTTCTGAAGTCATCACCAGAGAGTCCTCAATACGATCCATTAAGGTAATTAATTATACTCACAATGTCAACTCTCTCATCCTCACACAAACAAACAAGTTCTTAAATCCCAAACTTAACGTGGTATGTTTTTATTTCTTGTCAGGAAAGTAATTATTGATCTTTTCATTGCGGATGGTCCCACCGCAAAGCTTAAAAAGGCTTCAATTGTTGAGGCAGCTAAATTGAGACTTAAAAGGGATATTCCAGATGCTGAGTTAAAGAAGGTCAGACACACACACACACACAAAACGGCTCTAGTTCTTTTGGAAACGGATCCCCCCCTCCCCCTAGCCCCCAGCCCTGGCCCAACCTCTTCCACCTGCCCCCCTTTTTATTTTGCCGTGTGTCTGTAGTTTTAACCCCTCCCACACACACGCACACACACACTTTTTCTTTCTTTCAGAATGTCCCCTATGCTTACTTTTCTAAGCGATGTGATGGAATATCTACCATGTATTTTGCAGGTTCTAAGTGAGTTGTGTGTATCACAACACTCGGCTTGGCTTCTAAAAGGCGTCGATGGAAGTTCAAAATAGAGTCAGTTTTGTGGATGGCCCACAATTTTGTTTTGCTCCAAATTATCTGAAGATAATGTGTGACCTTTAGGTACATGGTTTAATGGATGCCAATGCCATGTAAAGTGCTTTAGCTGGGTTCGTTTTGGGGGAATAATTGGTTTATGTTGGGGTTTTACTTGCTGTATATGTTCTTAATATGTTGGTCAGAACCTGAAACATAAATTGAAGTTGATAGACTCCAACTCAACTCCATATATTATCATCTAACAACTAAACACGTTAGATTAACGTACTTTTAAACCAAATTATTCTATACGATAGAGGTAGTGTATTTTAGAACACAAACCGAAAACCCTAAATAACAACTTTTTACTTGTTTTTATACCAACTGATTTTTATACCGAAAATCAGTGTTGAAAAAAAATATTTTTTCTTTTAGCTTAAAAAGTAACATATTGACTAATATTATTTCATCTTAAGGTCTTGTAAACACTTGAACAAATGCATCTTTCTCTATCTGTTTTTTTTTTAATTTGAGACACACTTCTACAGTTATACTAAAGTGGATAATTAGGTATTTGAAATCTAACTAATTGGCTACTTTTTAATGAATTTCTCTAAAATAAAAACTTGATATGCAATACAGACGAACATTTTGGTACAATCTAGACGAACAATATGAGTAAAAAATCATTAGGATAGACTTTTTACATTGATATAAATGAATGAATGAATAGATTGTGGGTCAAAATGTGCTATGTTATCATGACCAATCATGTATGAACTAAAATGATTATTGATGAATGAGAAGAGTCATGCTAGAAATCCATTAGGTTTGGCATCAAGCGTTTTACATGCATTCATAGACAGCGTTTTACTTGCATTCATAGTTATGGATAACGATTGTCTGTCTGTGGAACACTTGGAGGCAAATTTGGTGTTTTTCTAGTATTTTTGGAGATATCATTCATAGTTATATATTAGACTCAAAATGTGAGACACTCAAGGTGACAAATTTAACACATTTCATCACTCAAGTCCAATCAAAATGGATGGACAGATAGGCTAAACAATAAGAGAATTGTTTCAAAAATAAAGGTAAGTGACCATTTAAGAAATTTTAAGAATGAGTAGTGTGAACCTTAAAACAAGAAGAGTTTATGATGTCTTTGTGATCATTGAGATTAACAAGCTTCAGCTTGAGAATTGAATCAAGTTTCAGCTTGACATGTATTTAAAATTCTACACTAACTTAAACTTAACAAGTGTGTAGTCAAATTGGATAATAATGAACCTTGATTTCAAAACTTTTAATCCAGTTTTCATTTCATCATATTTCAAAAAAAAAAAAAAGTAAAAAAGTACTCCGTACATAACTAAAATACACTACGTTATTAGATGTGAATGAAATCATGCGAACATGTTTATTACTTAAAAAGAAAACAAAGTAAATAGGAAGTGTTTTTAATATAATTATAATTATTCCATTCGATTATAAAATCTTACGTCATTAAATTGAGAATGAAATGAAGAGATACTAACTTGTAAGAGAGTCAATGACATTCGAAAAAAAGTTTAATCACAAACAGTCAAAACACCAAAATTTTATTTTTTTTTTTCATTTTAGCCCAGAGTAACCCAAAGTTCTTGGCAACATTATATAATCCGACCTCTGCAACTTTGGACTGCAAGCTGAGGTGAAGTTGAGAGAGAAATCGCAGAGGCGATGACGACGCGTATTGCTCCGGGTGTTGGGGCGAACCTTCTCGGCCAACACTCCGCCGAGCGCAACCAAGACGCCACCGCCTACGTCGGCAATCTCGATCCTCAGGTTTCCCCTAATTACATAGGGTTTTACTCTTCCTAACCATTTTTCCGCGCAAATTCAGTAGAATCTATGGAAAATAGACTTCCATAGAAACCCTATCCTAGTCTAGGGTTCTCGTATGAATGAATGTAACATTTATGGAAGATGAAGGCGATAATTAGCGGATAACAGTTGACAATTGCAATTTCAGTTTTGAGGAATACCTGAGCGAAGTATTTTTTTTTAATTTCCTCTCTCATTCCGCCGCCAGTTGAGGAAACAATCTTAGTATATCTGAACAAGTGTTAGTAGAAAAAAAATAGTGAGATTTAAGGAGGTCAGACTACTTCATTGCTTTAGTATTCTTTGAAATGCATATTCCATGTGTTTGTGTTTCCCTTCTTTCTCCCCTTGTGCTCCCAATTATGTTTCTCCATGGTGGCCTGCAAAATTGCATTTTTTGTGTGGTTAAATATACATTTTTTCTCTCTTAATACCCAGAAACTAAGCAAACTCTGTATGAGAAAGCAATTATACATTCAGTGTTAGGGAGAAAACACAAATCTGACACTCTCAGAGTTTAGTTTTTTTTACTCTCCACTTTGTGGGATTTTACTGTGTTGTTGTTGCCCAATTTCGGATTGGTTACAGTTCAAAAGTTGTGTACACAATCATTATTGTTTTCTCTGTTTGTAGGTTACAGACGAATTATTATGGGAGCTATTTGTTCAAGCCGGCCCAGTTGGTATGCTCTAACTTTAATTATCTTGAACTGCAAACATAATTCCCCATTAATAGGACACATAATGAAATGAGCTTTGCATTCCATTAACATGGTTGTTTTGTTGGCTGCAGTCAATGTATATGTCCCCAAGGATAGAGTCACTGGTGCCCATCAAGGATATGGCTTTGCGGAGTTCCGGAGTGAAGAAGATGCTGACTATGTAAGTGTTCAAGATGCTCTTAGCAGATTTATTCCATCAACGCAATTTTATTTAATTTAGTGATTAGTTGCTTTCTTGAATAATCCAGGCAATAAAGGTCTTGAATATGATCAAATTATATGGGAAACCTATCCGAGTTAATAAGGTGTGAGCTCCTTTCATTATATAATGTGACATATTTTGTAGTTAAATTTTCAAATCAAGTATCAGGTTCATTGTTGATCCACTTGATTGTCTGCCTTTTTAACCTTTTCTCCTTCCACTATCTATTTGATGCTGTTTGTAGGCCTCACAAGATAAGAAGAGTGTTGATGTCGGGGCTAACCTGTTTGTTGGGAATCTTGATCCTGTAAGCAGTTGAGCATTAGCAATTTGTTTTACCTTTCACGTAGATATCTGCATTTAAGAGTTCAGTCTTTCATTCAAGCATTCATTTATTTACAGTTTAGAGACTCTTTTATATCGATGGCATGTACAGTGAAAATTGTTAATTGAGTAAATTCCGCTTTCTTTCTGTGCAGGATGTAGATGAGAAACTTCTGTATGATACATTCAGTGCTTTTGGAGTAATTGTTTCAAACCCAAAGGTTGCTTACCTCCTTTTCATTTTTTGAATTGTTATTTCTGCAAGTTCATCATACTTCTTATATGAGATGCATTTTTCTTGTTGCTTTCTAACATCTAGTTGTTTTTTTGCAGATAATGAGAGATCCCGAGACTGGGAATTCTCGTGGATTTGGTTTTATTAGCTATGATTCATTTGAGGCTTCTGATGCGGCTATCGATGTAAATATGCTAAAACTAGTTAACCTAAATAACCAATTTTTTACTAGCCAGAACTTGAAAGCTTTACCTCTTTGAACTATGATTCTTTTCCTAGGAAGGGTAGTGTAAAAAAGATTTCATATCTTTCTAGTCATCAATAGTTATGTATTCTTAATTTTTTGACACTCCAGGCATTATTTTATTCGCTCTGGTACGAGATGCTTTCTTCATACCACTCCCTATTGAAAAATAATTAATAATCGTTTCATCTGCTGTTTCTATAGGCGATGACGGGCCAATACCTTTGTAACCGTCAGATTACTGTCTCGTATGCCTATAAGAAAGACACAAAGGGAGAGCGTCACGGCACACCAGCAGGTTAGCATTTAAATTATCCACACGATGTGATTATGTGTTGTTTTTTACTTTTTTATATGGCATCTGCTGATTAATTTCTTTTCATTTTTGGCAAACTTTGACCAGAGAGAGTTTTAGCTTCAAGTAACCCTAGCACGCAAAAGAACCGACCCCACACGCTCTTTGCTAGTGGACCTCCAACACTACCTCAGATCGGACAAGCTAACAGTACTGTTGCAGCCCCACCTCCTCCGCGGCCTTTTGCAAACAGCCATGTCCCCCCGCCTCCAATTCCGGCGATGCGTCCCCCGCCTCACATGCAGCCGCCGCCTAATATGTACCACCCTCCCATGCAAATGGCCCCGCCGCCACAGCAATGGCAGGGTCAGCATCCACCACAACCAGGCATGGTGCAGCAGCAGCATCAGATGCAGCAATTCGGAGGGATGGCTCCACCCCCACCACCGCCGCAAGTGGCTCCGCCGCTTAACAGGCCTCCACCACCCCCTATGGGAATGGGTGCTCCTTCTCTCTGGAGGCCACCTCCTCCTCCACAGCAACTTAGTGGTGGCGGTGGCCACCATTCTTTCCCTCAAATGCCAATGCAGCCACCTCCGCCTCCGAACTAATCCATCCTTGGGGTATACAATGAGCGGAGTATTATCAGGTTGGAGAAATAATATTTTCTCAGAGACCATACCAAATGAATGTGTGATATATTGGGTTTCCTTCCAAATCGATGCTCATGCCAATCAGGGCAATATAACTTCCGTTTTTATACGTTTGAGGATACATTTTTGAATTCATTTGGCAGTTCAACTCCTTTTGGGATTAGAGGGTGTACTATTTAGTGGTAGCATTACATTACATTACCTTTTGTAAGGGAAAAAAACGCCATAGTTTGTCTTTTGGATGGGGGAGTTAATTGCTTCAAAACTGACACTACCCCCAAAACCATAGATTAACTATGCAATGCACCTAAGTCTTTGTTACTTATTTTTAAGCCCATTTTTTTGTTTCATCATTATAACAAGATTGTTTACAAAATTGTTTCTCACTATTTATGAGTATTTAGAAATAATTTATCTATCATATAAGTCATTATACTTCCATAAAAAAATATTTGACTTATAAGTAGTCTATAAATTAAAAATTACTTATCCCAACATCAAAGAGGAACACTCCCAAAATGGGCTCATCCTAAAAGCTTCCGGCTACATGACAATATGTTTGGTTTGAGAAATTAAGAAGAAAAAGAAAATAAAAAGATCTCTCTTTTATCCTTCAAAATTGAAGAAAAATTGTTTTCTTAGCTGTTTTTATTCGTTCCAATTTTCTTTTTCTCAATTTCTCTTCTTCTAACCAAACATGAAACATAGAGGAAGATTGATATCACATTCAAATCGGTTCAAATATGTATGATAAGGTGGGCCCAATATACCCTTGCCATTTGGTAATAATGATGTATTCAATAGAGTGAGATAGGCTAGGGTAAGGGATCAATAGAGTTTGCATCCCAGGAGAGTGAAAGTTAACTTCTAGCAATGGGATAACTTCTTGATCTCTAAAAGTATAACTGCTCCTAACCTAGAGAAGGGATTGAACTTTAGAAATACTAATGACATATTGCTGCTTCATCTCTTTCAAATTCTCTTTCGTTCTCTTACAAAAGTCTTGTTTTTATGTCATAATTCCGATGGATTGACATCTACCATTGATATAACAATATCAGAAACTTGCACAATGACTTCTTAAAGGATTGGGGGAGGGGGGGGATGTTTCATGTATAGCCTTGTAAAAATTTCCTCCTAGGAAAAAAGAAGATACCATAATACTGTCATTACTCACGGCTACTACGGAGAACTATCATCTATGCATTGACAAGTTCATTGAGTTACAAATCAAAAGTTATGATGCTCTCAGCGCGAAGTGTTGGGGGTTTTGTCGGCTCCGCCAAGTTGACAGACGCAGATACCTGTTGAGGGGAAAAAAAGAAGCAGAGCTTAACCACTCATCAGATTTAACAACGAAATGGGCAAACAGATATATTCAAGGACTAACCACTAACAATACCTACAAACCAGAAGTTATAGAACCATGAGCATACCACATTCAAGGTATAAAAGATGACTTCAAGTACTGTTTTAGTGATTTTTCTCATTTTAAATGAATGCCTTAAACAAATTTGTTTATCTATAAGACTAACTTCTGGCTTCATAATCATAAGGCAGGCGAAACGATTCGGCAACAAGGCATTTGGTACTTTCCCCTCGAAAAGTAGTGATTGTGGAAGACCTTCACACTTTCCATCAAAGTAAGAGAAGTTAAACTAGTTTTGACCGCTTTTCACACAAGCTCAACACCGTATTTTGTAAATGGGGATCATGCAACAGTCACACCACGGATAACACCAAGGTTGATACTGTGAGTGTTTCAAAGACAATGACCGATTATGCGTGATTGTCTCTAGTGGTGTCAACTTGGCATCGTTTTCCTTCTATAAATGGGGGAATTGAATTCATTCCATTATCTAACAAACAAAACCCTAATTACTGACATGGATAAACTGAACATTTTCTGCAATGAGAAAACCAAGAAATAGAGATACCTTAAAGTTGCCATCCATACTTGTATTCCTGCACCAATCCACCTCCAAAACCTTGCTAGAACTCTGATACGAAGCCCTCACCAAATCACCATCCAAAACCCTCCTGGAAATCGAAACGTCCCACGAATTGTTCCCGAAATCATAGCTGGGCTCAAACGTCACCAATCCGCCCCAGTGCTTGTAGCTGTGTTTCACCTTGCAATTCCCAGTATTAGCCTCGAAGCTGGCGGATAACTTGTTCGCCGAATCGATCACCAATGTTCCATCCAGTTGGATCCGATTGTCGCCCCTCCAGTGCGAGTACGTCAAATTGACCTGCTTCCTCAAAAGCCTGACGGAATTCATGAACTGAAACCGCACATCCTGTACAATTCATTCAAGCTGTCCGTTGTGAGTACAGAGATACTGATCTATTATTATGCTGAATAAACAATCGGGCGAGTGTAGGATAAATTCAATCGACCTTCTTCGGAATACTGTAGTCGACGACGAAGGAGCCGGGATTTTCAACCGAGAGCGAGAGGTCTTCGAAGGCGGGACTGGTTGTGAAGGTGGCGTTGGCTTTGAGCTCGACGTCGCCGCCATTGACGATTGCGGAGGCGACGGCGCCGTTGGTGCCATTCTCGTAGCGTCCTCTGACTGAAGTTCTTATCATTTGCTCAATGGGAAATTAGGGGAGGGGGAGGAGCGACGAGTGGTCGGGGCAAACTTGGTTCTTACAGAGTAAAAAGGGAGTAACATTTGAATTTTGAACGGCGTTTACAAAAAATTATAAAAAGAGTACTATCAAAATAGTGTTAGTGTTTCAAAAAAATAGCGTTAGAAAATGGGAATGAGTACTTGGAATCTCTAAAAGACGTGTAATCACTTTTAATCAGATACAATTCATAGAATTTTAGAATGAAGTATGACGAAGATATGATGATCTTCGAACCTCTCCCGATAACCAAACTTGCGAGAGGCCGGGGGGAAAGGATGAAAAGTTGTCGTTCGCTACTTTCTCCAATTGATCGCGTCTATTTGCGCAAAATAAAGAGACACATTCCATCGAATTTGGTCAAATACAATATCTGAAAATAAAAAATTTAAGTAAATTTTTAACACAACATTTTCTTTCAATTAAAAATAAAAAATCAAATGATTTCTTAATACACCACTTCCAGCCAGAGGCTCTGCCTCTTGCTGCCCCTTGAACCCCGGGGCACTAGCCTGGAACCTCAGCCAAGGGGTGTCGGCGCCGTCCCCTTGGAACCTTCGTTACATAATTAGAGGTTAAACGAGATTTTTATTATAATGAACTCAACGAAATGTACAATCACACCATCGAACTTCAATTTCTTGATAATTATTATGATAATATTGATCAAATAATTATTCTAATTACACTAAAATATATAACAAATACGTAATATATTGATTTTGAATATCAATTAAATAAAATATATTTTATATTTGTATAAAAATGATTTTATTATATTTATTAATTATTGAATATTTTTAAAACCTTATTTTATGAAAGATAGTTACGAGTATAATTTATTACACTAAAATATACAACAAATACCTAATATAATGATTTTGAATATCAATTAAATAAGAAATATATTACATATTTGTATAAAACCTTTTTTTCAAAACTTTATTGTAGAAAATTTCAAACTTGGAATTTTTTTTTTATAAAATATATATCCACTTATCACACTTTTTAAAGGAGTTTCACCTTTCACTCATAATCTATATCATATTACCCCTTTAGTGTACCATAAGAAAACACATTATCTACATTTTTGATCAAGTTTACATTGCTTCGATATTTTGATGTGCATATCCAACACATCCTAAGAACAAAAATACTAGGGGTAGACATCCTAAAAAAACAATAATTCTAAGAATATGAATTTAGCTTAACTACTCCAAAAAATTTTAATAGACGTTCATGTAGACAACGACGTGTATAAGAAATAATATTCTATCTCTTAATAACCTCAAGTAACACACAAATCATCAAATTGTGTACTTCAAAATTCAAGATCCTATCGTTATCAATCCCAAATGTTCATGTTTTCTATCATCTTGGTTCTCAATGTGGACTTCAATTTCCAATTTTTAATCTCCATTCAAGAAATTTGGGAAATGCCGATGGGCGTTGCGCAGTTGGCTAAGCAAGGGAGAAAGACCCGTGTGTTTGATTCTTGGCAATTGCACTGGGAGGCAACTATGCTAAACATATGGCCTCTGTAAAAACCAGGTGCAAGCTCCACTCTTTGCCAACAATCTATAATTAAAATTCAATTTATCTTCTTTCAGTGATCGTTCAACCGAATTTGAGGGAAACTCGAAGATGGAGCTCATTTTTTAATAAAGAAATTTGGCTTCCCACCAAACCAAAAACACCCTTGCGTCCGTCCCATAAAGGGGTAAAAGACAGATTTACATTATTAAGGGTACAAATCTAAAAGCCACTGATCCCAAACTGATCCTCTGTCTGCTCTCTTCTGTATAAACATCAACTCTTTTACCCCCCTCACGCCCAAATAGATTACAAATTGGGATTTACAAATTTGGACCACAAATTGGGAATTATGAGTTAAAAAATTTTATTTTTCGAAATTATTTTATTTACAAATTGATATATTGATTAAAAATAAAATTTATCTATATATATTAAAAATTACGTAAAAAATTCTTTGAAACAAGAGGTGATAAAAATATTTTATTTCATTAAATAATAAATGAAAACATATAAATAAATAAAAGTTATCAAAAACAGAGAGAAAAAATTGCAATCAAAATTGGATGGAGGGAGTACATTTGATTTGTCTCATTTCTTCCACAACACAACACTTAATTACCTAGTAAAGAAGTAATAATAATGTTAGAATATAAATAAACTTTTCTGGACCACAATCACAAGCTTGAGCTTTTGGTTGAATTAGTTTTTGATATGGTATCGGAACTTTGTTAACTAAGAGGTAACGAGTTCGAAACTCAGCGCCACCTGCTTTTAAAAAAATTTAAGTTTCACGTTCAAAGCTCGAAAAAAGACTACACCTGTACGTCAGGGAGTGTTTTAGAATATTAATAACCTCTCTGAGACACAATCATAAGTTTGAGTTTTTGATTGAGTTAATTTCTTGACAAATAAAGTTGAGTTTATTATATACTCCGTATGTTGGAGTTTTCGTATGTCAAATCTATCTCAGCATATATACACGCAATAGAAATTCTTGAATTTGAATCACATTTTACTCAAAAAAAGGTTCGGGATACACCAGAAGTGTAGACCACCAATTCCCAAATTAAACTACACAGTTTTTGTGTAAATAAATAAAGACGGAAATGAATAAAAATGCATGGTTACAAAACTAATGGTGTATATATATTTGGAGGGCACAACATATTTTTCTTTACTCAATGTGACGACGACGTTTCGAGAGGAGGCTCTGAAAAATGGACAGAAACGATGACGTACTAGTTACTCCAATGAAATAAATACGTACAGCACAAGTAATTTATTTTACTGTACCGTACCTCTTATACAAATGAAGGACCTGACTTCATGTCAAAACTCGTCCTCCTTTCTTATCCTTCCCCCCCGTTATTATGCCCCCACTCAAAAATTATGTTTGTGTAGCGTGTTACGATGTTTGACTGAAGTTATTTTGAAATTACATCAAAAGATCTACAAAACTAAAAATGACATGATTATATTATTTTATCAAATGGACAACAAACACGGGCTAACAAAGTAGATAAAATTTGACCTGTGAATAATCACCGAGAAGATAATTTTCATATTCATAATAGTAGAAATAATACAAAATATTTCCTCCATCCCATATCTGTCTTTCTAGAGCATTATTCCAATTTCACGGAAACTTTTATTTATTTAATTTGTATTTTCTTATGGTCTAGCCTATATGATAAAATAAAATATTCATGTCGTCACTTGCTTTATAGAACTTTTGATGTAATTTTAAATATGCAAATTTTATTTTTTATTTTTATACCAATATTTTAATAAAAAATTGAAAAAAATTGAGATTTTTCTTTATTTTACACAACAAGAAAAAAGATATAAGACAGAAAGAGTAAATTATTATTATTATTATTATTTATTTTTCTTAAGCTATGGTTAATATAATTAAATAGTTATTCGAATTCTAATTTTATCAAAATTCTCTATTAAGTCTCACTATATGCTAATGGAATCATCAATTATTCAATATAATAATTATTAAAGTGTATGAGTGTCTACTCTCGTCTCTATCATACTTCCTCAGTCCCAAAATATTTGCAACATTTGCTTTTTCAGCAGTCGCGGATATTTTTGTTTATTTCTACGTTTTCATTGGTTATTTGATAAAATAAATTACTTTTGACACCTCTTATTTCGAAGAACTTTTCATGTAGTTTTTTTATATGTAATTTTTTTTATTTCTATACCAATATGTAAACAAACTACTGACAAAAGATCAAGGACCAAGCCCCTACTAGTGTTGACCAAATGGCTAACATTTTTTATATCCAATTAATGTGCAACATATCATATTAAAAGTTCACATATTAATACAAGACATCTAATTGTAACACACCAAGTATGTCTCTATCAACCAAAATTTACACTACAACAATAAAATTAATTTAACCTAGGCAAGATATGCATCACATTCACATATAAACTTTGTCTATCGATAAAAACAAATTAAACTACGTAGTACAAAGTACGTTTTTGTACTTCCAAATGGATGATGTGTCCTTGGTATTAGTGCAAAACATTTAGAACAAAACTAACATAATTCATCTACGTAGATGAAATATGTTTGTAGTACCAAAGAGACATACTTCATCTATCACAAACAAATTGTACAACAACAACAACAAATCACAAACAAATTGTGTTTGTACAATACAAACGAATTGCGGCGTATGTTTATGAAGTTCCAAATGGATTACGTACATTTGATGTTGTGTATAGGATTTGCGCTACACCAACATAATTCATCTAACATATAGACTAAATGTGTTTATAGAACACAAACATACCTCGTTTGCATAAAAAATACATTGTCTTTGTGTCATACATCTCACGTAGACGTGATATATTTGTATCACGAAGAATATACTCCCTCCGTCCCAGAAAACTTTTCTCCTTTCTTTTTTCATCCGTCCCAAAAAACACTTCTCATTTCTATTAAAAAGTCACTTTTACCCCTTACTTTTTCATACCCTACCTATCACATCATACCTTTTTACTAATAATCTATCCATCAAATCATACTTTTATCCATCACATCAAAGGACATTTTTGGAAATTCAATACCAAAATACACTCCCCTTAAATCCCTCTCCAAAACCAAAACTCCCATGTTTTCCGGGACGGAGGTAGTATATGTTTACGTTATTCCAAATTGCATGTTGAAGTTGGATTCTTTGAAGGATGGACATGTGCAAATAAAACCCACAGGGGGGATCGGATACACTACTAATTCCAACTTGCAAACACGTACAATTATGAACCATAAAACTATCATAATGGGGAGACAAGCATAGATGTACCCTCCACTTGGGTCGCGCTGTTTCTTCGCTTTTCGTTTTTTCTTTATTCTAGTACTCACACCCGACAGCGGGTGTGCTACTTCAGGCTGCCGATTTCCCTGCAGATTTTTTGTATTTTCCCATGTCACACAAACCCACCCAAATTAGTAGGAGTTGATTGAGAACCGGCTGAAAACAAGGCAACTCACATGGCCTAGCTTTCCCTCCTCACCAAAAAAAGTAAGGTTAGTAATAGAAGTATAGAACATAAAACACCACAAAACATCAAGAGATGAA